AACTCTACAAGAGTTGGCAGGGCCTGAGCGGTAGGCGGTGGAGGGTTTTCCTTGCGTGTCTCCTGGGTTGGCGCGATAGTACCTTCGATCGGTACGTGCAGCCGACCTCTCACCAGAGATGCAACGGCTCAGTTGCTCTCGCAAATCTCCTACGGAAGCGCGGCTGCCCGCAGGTTGCGCTCCCGCATTGAGCACGACCGTGACATGCCGGTTGGCCACCGGAGCGGCGACGTTCTGGCCAGTGTTATGGCAACTACGACGTGTTCGTGCCATTAGCAAAGCTTAGAGACAGGACCTTTTGTTTCGATCCCCATAGACGACGCCAATATTGGTTTTACGGCTTAGGGCAGCTGTTCAGCGGGCTTACACTACCGAAAAATATTAGGTAAAAAATGAACAAAGTATTTTAGAGAAAAAAAGAGCAGAGTAACATTCATTACTTGAAATTTGGATCCGTTACAAGATGGCCCCATGGGGTATTTATACAAAGAGTTAGATCCTTTATATGGCAAGAAGAAGGAAAATAACTAAAATTATGCTTTGGAATATACCAAAACCAGCGTATTAATTGCTTAAAACGAGAAAGGAAATTACTTGTTGCTCAAGGAAAGAATCTCTAAGATATTCGCCCTTAACCGCCTCTTGGAACGCGCACTCGGTTTGGGACGCTCCGACTGCCCAGCCTGGTCGCCCATCGGGCCAGCTGAGGACCTAATCAGGGCCACGCCGACAACATAGCCTTGTCGCCCATTCGAGTCCTCCAAGGTCGACCCGGCTGGGGACACGCCGACTATAGAGCCTGGTCGCCCATCCAAGCCAGCTAAGAACCTAATCGGGGACACATCGACTGCGGAGCCTGATCACCCGGGTGCCCATTACCATCGTCGATTCGCCGCTCGCGAAGGGGCCTTTCTTCTTAAATTGCCAAGGGTCTGTAGTGTTCGGGACCGACGACATCTACTCCTCCAAGCTGAGTGCCTGATTATGGATATCTATCAATAACATTCATAAAATGATAAAATAACGTCCAAAAATCATAATTAAAGAAGTTCATACTAGTTTTTAGAATAATATTGAACACAATAAAAATTCAAATTTCATATTGTTGAACATCAATAATTGGTGTAGGATATTGGCCTAATATAGTATATTCATCCTTAGTGATGTTCATGATATCTTTTGTAATATCATTCATGACAATGGTTCTTACCTAAATGACAATATTTGTTCTTAGCGTGTTATAAACATGTTTGTGTAAACGGGTTAACTTGATAATATTAATGGGTTCTTAATAGGTTTAACGAGTTGACCCGTTAAGACACGAAACATAACGAGTCTACCCGTTAACGACCCGTGACACGTTAAGGCTAAACACTAACCCGTTATTTTTGTGTCCAGTTTCGTGTTGTGTTAACGGATCGTGTTCATAATTGCCAAGTCTAACTGCCATACACGAATGCACACTACCAGCTCCCTTAATCCGAACCCAAACCCCCCATCCTCCCAAACGTACAATTGCATGAAAAATACCAAATAATAACCACACACGCTCACACTAACAATCAACACTCACAGTAGACCACACTACACAGGACAACCAAAAACGAAAGAATATAAATTAGTATAGTGAAAAATACACAACACCCTAACGCAAAATTGCCTACAACCCATGTCAGACCAACCCATAGATATGCGCAAATAAGAACAAAACACCCATAACCCACAACCCGCGATAACCCTACGCCCCCACCCCTACCGACAGAAAACATAGAACGCCATAACGAGATAATACACACCCAAGTTTGGTACTAACAAAATACGATTTTATACACGTACTGAAAGAGATTTACACCATAATACTATTTGATTCCCACCAAAAAAAAAAAAAGAATAATACTATTTGATACTTGATAGTTCCTTTAAAATTACCATTCATAATACTAATTGCCCTGTTGTTTCTCTCTGAAAATTCTTCAAGTTCTGAACCATCCAGCAGGTTTTTCAAAATTACATTCATAAGTTGAATTGAAAAAAATTAATTATATATCTTGATGAGTAGTCTCAATTCGTACGTGTGATTGGATTGCCACTTGCCAATTATATTGATGGCAAATTAAAGGAAAACTTGGCTGCTATTTCCAACTCTAATGGCTCCAGGATATATATTAGATTCATGTTCCAACTTATAGTATTTAATTTAATATAATAGTTTTTTGAAATTTGTGTTGGGATCATTATCTTATATTGTAAATTTGTAATGCAATGCAATGGCCTCTCTGATTTTCTATTCTCAAGTTTCTGTATTGAACAGTGGTGTACTTAATTACTTTTTATATCTGATTTGTTGAATGCCACCTTTTTGCATACTATTAAAAAGCCCAGCTATTATCATCAATTCATCAATACTCAATCACTAATAAAAACAAAATGATCAAAACCCATTAAGCATTAAGCATGCATATATATAGATGATTAGTACCTAGCTGCATGCTTTAATTTCTACCAGCATGAGTGAGAACACCGCCATATTTAAGCTAGCAGGATCGTTAAAAAAAAAATAAAAAATTGCCCAAGCATTCTTCCTTATGATCTCCGACATGGTCAATGTGGATGACTAAATGTACTAAATATAATAAAAGCAATCAAAACAAAGGGCATTTGGTCTAGTGGTATGACTCTTGCAGGGTGCAAGAGGTCCCGAGTTTAATTCTCGGAATGCCCCAAATAATTTTTTTTTTATATTGTAAATACTCTACCAACTATACCAAATCACCTGAAGATGACATGATGCAGGTGATTTTCCTGGGGAGAGTGAAGATTGTTTTCTTGCGGGTTTTGCTTGGGAATAAAGTATTCCTAGATTTTGTCAAATTTGGAAATCTAGAATTCCTAATCCTACTCGTTTCAGAAATCTTAGAAATACAAATACCATATAAAATAAAAATTCGGCCAACACCTTCTTTTGTCACACATGGTCTTGTACTATGATTTATCTTTTCTTTTTACAAGATATACTACAGAATAACATGAAAATAGCCACAGGCCGTTTTCGTCGCTAAACAGGTGAAATCCGTCGCTAGAATTTAATGACACAATTTATTTCCGTAGCTAAACAAAAACAATCCGTCTCTATATTTCTCCCGGCGACGGTTTTGACGTCGAAATTTGGGAGAGAGAATAACGACGGAAATTTCCGTCACTAATCCGTCGCTAAACCAACAAAATATCCGTCGCTATATTCCTACCACGACGATTTGGTGACGAACTTTGCAAGGGAATAGCGACGGATTATTCCGTCGCTACGTTTAGCGTCGGAAATTTTCGTCGCTATCGTCTGGAAATTGTCGTCGCTAATTTGTATTTATTATTTAAATTTGATGCCATTTAGCCACAGTTTAGTGACGGAAATATCCGTCGCTAAATTTAACTTTGGATTTTTTCGTCGTTATTTCGGTGCCCTTCTTTATTTTATTAGATACTTAGCTACGGTTTTACTACAATATTTATCCGTCGCTAAATTTTAAAAATTAAAAAGAAATCTACCCGCTAATTAATATCGCATACATGCATTAAACCTATAATGTAATACTTGAATAATATAATTGTAAAATATATTATATTAAAACATTCATACTCACCATCTCCTTCATTGTATCTTGATGAAGTTGTGAAGTAGCAGATGAACCACCGTTATTCTCGTTGATAAATGAGGATGCCTTAGTCCCTAAGCCATAAATACGTTGTTTTTTTTTACCCCGCCAACAACATCCACATACAGCTGTGACATGTTTATACTTGATGGCTTAGTTGACCCTTCAGCTTCTTGTGTTGCAGTAACATGTCGTGATTCTATTTCTTCCTACAATTAAAAACATATACAAAATAAAAGAAGTATACAAAGGCATATAAATTTTTATCTATTTAACAATATATGATTCTTACATTATACTTACAGCGATTCTCTTTGACCTCTCATCAACGAACATACCATTCTACTTTTTGTACATTTTCTCAAAGCACTCGAGAAATAATACTTAACTTGTAAAATATATACAAATAATAAGTTTGTAAGTTAAATGTATTACCAATTTGTGATAATGCTCAATAGCTGATTTAGATCCTCCGGTATGTCGAGAACATCCCGTACCGGGTCCTTCCACCTCACTCATTCTATTCTTGCGTTGTTATTCAGATTTAGCTTTCACGTCAGGCATATCCCAATATGCCTCCCAAATGCGCCATGTTTCTTCAGCTACACAAGCTGGCCTCCTAGCTGAAGTTCGTTTCACCTTGAATTTGGAGACCATATATGTAGAGTGTATGCCTGGTAGTGCTAAATAAGTTTTGTGAACTTGTCTATCAATAGACTCATCCCACTTGTAAAATTACAAATTCATCAAATATAAGTAAAACACAATAGATAAATTAGAGCAACACCATCCATAAAATGCATTGGGCAAAGTTACTGACAAAAATTAAATAACATTCTAGCTTCAAGAATTAACCACAATATTTTCAAAACCATATCGTGAATTTACCTTAAATTCCTCAAAGTATGACTCCTTGTACTCATTAGACACATTCTTCCAAGTATATTTGTTAGGAACACTTTGTAATTAGATTTTGATGATACCAAACTTAAGAGCTTAGACCCCTCATACCAAAGACTTGTGGGATACATATTGACATGCATAGCTTTTGCGTACGAGAAGCTAAAAAAGGTCTTTTATGTGCAGCAAATACTAAACAGTGTATTGGATGGTCATTAGACATACTCACAAATTCATGTCGTTGGGTAAGTTTATGCTCACATAGTTTTGACTATCATGTGTGGTTTATTTCAAATATCCCTCGCTCCCTTTTCGTCTTTCAGGGACGATTTGAAAGGTTTATACCTTTCAAACATTTAAGAATTTTAGATTTGGGTGAATCTCTAATACTCAAAAGAGTGTCATTATTGCCCTTAAGGAATTTAATTTTTTTAAAGATATCTTTCAATTTCACATTGGTTTGAGAGGATGAGAGAAATATTGCGGCGGGAGAGCCACCAACGCCGGGAATCGTCGTCGGGTAATCATCCGCAAGGATGAACTCTTGTGCCTGCAAAAAATCGGATAATTGCGTGATCGAGACCGGATTCCCCGAGGCCATGAGTGACACAGCCATTTGTCTGTATTCCGGTCGAACCCCCGGAATACGAACAAGTTCTGTTCTTCTAATGAAACCAGGTGACTAGCCAGCGAGAGGTCTTCGATCAGCAGTTGTGCACGTCCCAGAAATTCTGCCGGAGAGCTGTTACCTTGCCGGAGGGTTTGGAACTGCCCAAGAAGGTTTAGGCACCGGGCGCGAGTGGACGACCCGAGCGTCATGGTGATGGATTGCCATACTTCACGAGATATATTCCGGCTAACCGTCAGATACATCACCTCATCGGTTAACGAGGATATCAGAAGGGAGAGGATCGACTGATCCTGTTGTACCCAAGCTTCAAACGCCGGATTCAACATGGGAACGACGGTTGTACCGCAGGACGTGGAGTCGCCGGCGGCCGGAATGCTGTCGACGGTTGACGAGGGGCAGGGAGTTTCGCCATCAACAAATCCGAGGAGGCGTTGGCCGCGTTGGAAAGGGACGAGCTGAGTACGCCATAATAAATAGTTTCTGGTTGTTAGCTTGATAGAAATAAAATGATGGGCGGTGGATAGGATGTTTGAGGTGGTGGCCGAAGGTGGTGCGGCGGTGGTCACGGTTCTTTCCGAGGAGTTGGTCGGCATAGTAGGGTGGTGGGATAGGGAGAGAAAATTTAGGGATCTAACCTAAGGCTTAGCTGATACCAGATGAGAGATACAAATCTGATCAGTTGCAGAGATAGAATTCTACAATACTAAGATAGAAAGGAAATCATAAAGATCTCCTAGATATTAGGTTAGCCACAGGAGGCTAACTTATTCATCTAAAGCTATAACAATAATAATCTGACACCTCGTAAATCCAAACTCTAGTTAAGAATTAATTAGATAATTAATCCTAGTTTTATTAGTAATTTATTCTCAAAAATCCTAAAAATTGAATAGTCGGAGGACTAGATTTTGACTAGTCAATCCAAGTCAAAGGGTTGTACCTTATGCCGAGTTGTTCCCTTGTCTCCTTATTCTTCCAACTTTAGTAAGGGCAAATGAGTCTTTCTACCTAAAGTTTGTGCTTCAAGCTAAGCTAGCATCATCCTTTCATTTCATCCACCAACACTCTAAACACAAAACCTCTACCTTCTCTCTAAGAATTTGGTAGCTTCTTCTACAAGCCAAATTTTGGGCATCCTAAATCCTACAAGTTGGCTTCCAAGATTCATACTTTCCTAACCTTGAGCATAGGGGATGGTAAGATCCTTGATCTCTTGGTGTTTTTAATATCTTTTTAGATGTCTTTTTTCTAAAAATAGAATCTTTGTTGTCTTTTGGTGTGTTTATGAAGTTGGTGTTGAAGAAGAGCTTTAGGAGAAGCTTTTAAGGGTGAGAAAAGTGAAGTGTTAGGCTACAAAGGTAACTCATGCTTTACAAAACCTATTTTCTTACTTATGTGATGATTTCTTGGCTTCTACTTGTGATTCTTGTGTTGAAATGTGAGATTTGATGCATTATCTTGTGGTGATGCATGTTTAAAGCTTGTTATTAGGGATCTTGTATGCCATTGCTTGGCTATTTCTTGGGTTCAAGTCATATTGTTGTATTGTGTGAGATTTTGGGTGTTTTGGACTTAAATTTGGACTTGTTGTTGAAAATCCCTGAAGGGATTATTTGAGGTACAGGGTGTGCCCGCGGGCGGAACGGCGTGCAGAGCTCCACCCGCCACCCCACCCGCGGGGTACATGTGGAGAGTGGGTTCGTACCCGCGGGCGGAACCACGGGTGGAGGTCCACCCGTGGCCCCACCCGCGGGGTACACTGTTGATGTCGTTCGGGGATTTGTTCCCCGTGATTCTTTTGACTCGGTATTGATGTTTTGACCTCCCGATGTTGTTTTATTGGGCCATTTGAGTGTCTTCTTGATGTTTCGTATGTCTAGAACGGTACGTTAGGAATCCATGTAGGATTTGGAGTATTGAATCGTGCTAAGTGTCCAACTTTGTGACTCTTTGGACTATGGTGAGTCTTGTATGTTCATTAGAACTATTTTGGTTTGCCCGTTTGATAAGCATGCTAGTTTGATGTTGAAATGCTAGTGTGTGCGGTTTGTTCTTTCCTATTGAGATTGGAAACTTGTGTTGACCATCGTTGTTGTCGGATTGTAATCCTTTCTTGTTGAGTATGGTTTCATATCATTGTTGTGATCCATTGATTGATTCCTGTGATGAAAACATATGTACTTGTGGTACCTTGACTGCACGATTATGGTTAAGGAGCCTTAATCTTCAAGGTACCAATGTGGTCCTCGTGTGGCCATGAATCAAATTGGTGGTGTGACCTGAGCGTAGGCTCATATGTTGGAGGTTGTGTGTTTGAAATGAAAAGTACCCTCGTGTACTCATGAATAGGTGGTATGTTGGAGGCTATGTTGGAGGGGGGACGACGGTCCCTGGCGGTATAAGGTTAGACTCAGAAGTAAAGTGTGGCACTAGGAGGAATGGTTGGAACTGAAATAAGGTCGTGGGTAGCCATAAGGTTGGAACAAGGCATAAGGTTGGAACTTGGAATTGTGTTCTTGTGACATGTAGTTGCCAATGTGTTTATGTGTTCTTTGCTAATGAGCATGTCGAGATGTATTCTACTTTCACTACTACAAAAATTACTTTTAACGTCGGGTTTTTTACACTTTTAACGTCGGTTTTCTGCCGACGTTGTCACAAAAGACGTTGTAAGTAAATGATACGACGTCGGTTAAAAAAAACCGACGTCGTATATTTTTTTTTAATTTTAAAATTAACTTAAGACGTCGGTTTTTTTATAAATAACCGACGTCTTAGATTATTTTTTAACAAAAAAAATAGAGATACAACGTCTCCGTTTTCAAAAAAACCGACGTCGTATCTCTTAAAAAAAAAAAAACTGAAATGGTATAAATGGTAAGCCATTCTGGCTGTGCTCTGAATCAAAAATTAATCTTTGCATTGCATATCGAATTTATCCTTGCATTGCACTCTAAACTTGCATAGTAACTTCATTACAAAAGTGCCCGTCAAGATAGACCATCCTCTTCAAATTTGGATAGTAAATTTATCCTTTAAACAAACCATTTAACTGCATAATGTGCAGACTATCATTTACAAACCAACCATTTATTTATCCTAGTAAATTAAATAAATGTCCTAACTAGCACAAACCATTTAACTGCATGATAAATTTATCGAAGTTTCATATATAATAAAGATAATGGTAGCATTAGAATGTCATATAACATAATACACAGCTCATGAGAAAAGTAAATATAAATATTAAAATGTAAAACTAATGGATTTAGAAAAAGAAATAGTAAAATAAGTAACAAGGAACAAGTTCTTCTAATATATCCTAGGTTCAACTATTTCCATTGGAAGTACAGAAGAGAACTAATGCTTGCAGTAATAGAGTAAATTTCAATTTTGGTCATGTGACTATAGGGGTCATGTTAATTGCAGTCCATGACTTTCAAAAGTGTTAATTTAGTACCTTGATTATGCAATTTTTATCAATTTTAGTCATTTTGGCCAAATTTTGACGGAAAAATCGGGTTAAAAACTGGCTTTGCTTAATTCGGACCACAGATCAAAAGACGAATTTGCCCCTCAGATTAAACACTAATTGATGAATTATGTTTTTCCGGCAAAATTTGACCGGAAATTTGGCAGGAGTGACCAAAATTGATAAAAATTACATAGTCAAGTTATTAAATTAAAACTTTTGAAAGTCGTGGACTGCAATTAACAAGACGCCTATAGTCACAGGACCAAAATTGAAATTTACTCTGCAGTAATATATTGAAAATTTCTTGGATAACAAAAAATCTAGCTCCTGCTGATATGGGAGGCAATAATAAACACCCAATCTGCACTTTTACAAAAGTTTAGAGCCTGCTGGTTCATTCTGGCATACTTTAGTCAAGAATGGGAATTGTGGGAGATAATAGAATGAGGAACCATATTCAGTTCAAATTGTGGCAGGCCAGCAGTAGTTACCTTGTATAGGTCAGTGTTGCGAGTCTCCGCATCTGCTAACTCTTGCTTCAACTGAAGTGTTTGCAATTTTTCTTTGTTGAGGGATGACTCTAGTTCTTCCTACTCTGCCTTGAGGGCTGATAAAAGATGTTCACTTGTTTCTTCAACCTTTTTCACCTGCATAGCACAGTCAGCTCAAATCCTAAGGGGATAGCAACATCAAACAGAAATCAACAGACTTCTATATATGGAGAATTCTCACAACAAAAGCAGACTACATGTTTAAAGAAATATATGGACATGGTTAAGAATTGGATTGTACTCAAGCAGATCGATTTCATGTAGTCTAAAATTAAATTCACAAAAGAATGTTTCTCATTTCTGCAATGGTACATACGGTGTTCAACAAAAGAAAACAAGAAACAATCAATGCACTAGTCTTTAGTTCAAAAACACAAAACTATCAAATGTTAGTTTAAAAAAGGCAGATCGAGACATACTTTAGCCAGTCTACTTTCAGACTTCCATTAGTATCTATGGTACTGACATAAATTCATTCGTTTCTCCATACAGAACTCAAAGGACCATCTTCTAGTGGGAGCACCTAGATTAGAGATAAACATACAATATATATAATGTTAATACCATTAGAGATACATATATGCAAATTTATTCACCCAACTTTGCATGCAAATTAAAACGACCTAGAATTCATGGCCAATCTCCTTTAATGATAATGCAAAACTAATCATCAAATGGATCAACTATAAGATGTGTAAAAACCTACATATATACAGAACAGAATATAAAATGAATAATAATTAGGATTGATTAGCTAGGATGCAAGAAATTAAAGTGAAGAATGAAGAAAATGATGTGCGGTTATTAAATTAACTGACCAAACCAAGTTTGAGTTTCACAGAGCGGAGTGTGTAGAATCCTATGGGAATCGTTCCTGCATTCACCGATCCAACCTACGCCTCACCGTAAATACGAAGACTTGTTCGAATCCCCGCTCTAATTCGCTCCAATGACAGCCTATTTCGCCCAAATCGCTCAATTAATGAGACGCTTCTCTAAATTCCAGCCAAACTCACCCACTCATTCTCTAAGATTCTCACAATCGGCATCAAGACTCCAGATCTTTCAACCGCATCTCGATCGTAAGCTCCATCGGAACCGAATTCGTATCTCTTGTTTTTGCGGCTGTGCGGCGCACTGGCGAGCAGCTGTGCGACGCGGTGGACGGCGGCTGTGCGACGCGGTGGACGGCGACTGTGCGACGCGGTGGACCGGTGGGGCGGCTGTGGAGTGCGAGCAGCGGTGGAGTGCTAGGTTTATTTATTATCGACGATGGCGCTTTAATTTGTTCCAGATCTGAATTTTTATTATTTTTAAAGAAAATATATAAAAGATACGACGTCGAATCCTTGAAAAAAAAATAATAAAAAAAAAAGAATTATATACGACGTCGGTTAGACTTTTAACCGACGTCGTATAGTATTTTATCTTTTATCTTTTTTATTTTATGGACCTAAAACGTTGGTTTTATGACAAAACCGACGTTATAGGTCTTTTTTAAAAAAATGTAAATTATAAAAAATATTTAACGTCGGTTGTTCATTTAACCGACGTCATATCCCCGACGTTAAAAGTGATTTCTGTAGTAGTGTTTGTGATCAGTAGAATACACCTCGAGTTGTATTTGTTATAGTTGGTAATCTTGTCTTGCTGTTGTCTTGGGATGTTGATTTCCCTTTTTCATTTGAGAGTGAATGAGTCTTTGCAGTTGACTTCTCTCTATGACTTTTGAAATGATATATACTGTATTCTGTTTCGAAAATGGTTTTGACTTATACTATCTATATATGCTATTTAACGCGTATTGATGGGTTACCAGCAATGTTCGTTGACCGGGTGTCATCCCCTTCTTTATGTTGCTTTACAGGTTTTGAGTAGCTTTCGGAGAGCGCGCTAGCTGTTTGGTAGATAGTGTAGTTCCTTAAGACTGTTTCTGTTAGACCTTTGGCCTGTGAGCCATGGTTTTGTATAAGCTTGATTTGGATATATGTTTAGACTTAGCCTGTGCACCTATAGATGTATTGGTGTGGCATAACATCTCTCATACTTAATTAAGTTGCTTCCGCTTTGTCTTATCTTAATGTGTAGTCTTTATCCTTTTCTTAAACTTTAAATTAAGTTTTAAAAGTTGTGAAAATTCGGGGTGTTATAGTTGGTATCAGAGCCTAGGTTTGAGCGTAGGATGCTAGAGTCTGGACTTTTAAGAAGTTGAGACCCTAAGGTGACCTTAAGTAACTAAGTGTTTTGGACTTATGACTTATAGGACGCGTGGTGAGCTGTGTGTTGTTTACCATTTCTCCTGTTTGCTTTGTTGTTTTTGCTTAGCTTTAGTGTTCTTTTAGTTAGCGCCAGGTAAGGGTTCGTTGTTGTTTGTGCCTATCATAACCGTGTTGTTGTTGTAGAAGTATCGTCATGGCTCCGCCTCGTCAACGCGCCCGTACACCCGAGACACCAACCAACGAGTAGCTGGCTTAGAACTTACAACATCTCACGTAGACCATGCAAATTAAACCTTGAGTGAAGCCCTTCTGCACAACAATCATCCTGCTCCGCCGCCGCAGCCTGTCGGGCATAGAGATGTGGGACGTCTAGTCCAGGGCCATAGACCACCGGTGTTCGCCGGAGAGGAGGATCCAGTTATACTCGAGGAGTGGATCCGAACCCTCGACAAGATCTTCTCCGTTGTAGGGTGCCCTGAGGAGCACAGAGTGGAGCCGGCATCCTTCTACTTCAGTCATGAGGCTGATCTCTGGTGGGTGCACGAGGGACCCGCATGTCAAGAGGAGCCCGCCTTCGACTGGTGAGAGATCCGTTTTATCCTTCACATGTCCGAGCTGCTATGTACGAGGAGTTTCTACATCTCCAGCAGGGCTCATCATCTATGGTGGAGTACCACAAGCGCTTCTTGGAGCTTGCCCGTTTTGCAAGGATGCTAGTCCCCACCGAGCTTGCGAAGGTGGAGAAGTTCGTGACCGGGCTCAACTATGAGGCTCGAAAAGCATTGATCGTGAGCAAGCCGAGGACCTTGAAGGAAGCTTATCTGAGTGCTGCTGACCTGTACCGGGTACAACAGTTGCAGCGAGGGTCGTTTGAACTCGCTAAGAAGAGGAACTAAAGCGGTGGACCCCACAACTTCAAGAAGCCGAGTTAAGACTTTCGATCCATGACCGCACCTTCCCCACGTAAAGGATCAACCCGAGTAGAGTCCGGAGATCAAGTTAAGACGTTTGCATGCAGAAAATGTGGAAAGGAGCATGTGGGAAAAGACTGCCAAGGACTTGCACTGCGATGTTTCAAGTGCGGGGAAAGAGGTCACAAGGCTATCGTATGCCCTCTTCAAGCAAATCAGAGAGCTTCACCATCCGGCGCTAGACCTAGTGGATCATCGGGAGGGAGTGCTGGCCGAGGTACAGCTGGAGCAAGGCCTACGGGTCGAGTGTTTTTGATGGGCCGATCCCAAGCTGAAACGGAGGGTTTGGTTGAAGAAGAAACGGCAGGTAACCCTTTCTAAGCCTATCTTTATCTTGAGAGTGTGCCTTTCCTTTCTTGCCTTGTTTCCTTGTTATGTGAACCTTTTTGGCTTTTCAAGTGGGTTTCTTTCGTGAGTTGATTGTTTACTTCTGAGTGGTTTTTCTTTCGTGAGTTGATGATTGTTTACTTCTGAGTGGTTTTTCTTTCGTGAGTTGATTGTTTACTTCTGAGTGGTTCGTGCTTGTGTTAATACCGAAGCTTTGCATATATGCTCTTTTAACTCAACCTCTATCTTTTGGGTCATCTAAGTTTAACTAGTTACCCTTCGAATTTATAATAGACAAAGTAGCCTAAAAAGAAGAAAAATTTAATTTATAGCCACATAGTTCTGAATCCAGGTGTGCAAGTTACCAACCCAACCTTTAAACCACTTAAACCAATTGTGTTTCTTGAACTTTATCCGTTTAAATTCCATTTAACCTATCATTTTCACTTTACCTAAAAGTCCACAAATTTAAAACCTTCTTTCTCCCAATTTGTCCCAAATTCCCCAAACACTTCATTATTTTTCCCTTCCACCCGTGAGCCACCGAGAAACCCCCTACCCACCGGTTCCTTCCTCCCGTCGCAGTCGGAACGCCGCCGCCACCACCTCTCGCCCGACGCTATCGCCGCCGCTGCTTCGCCATTGCCGGACGCTTGCCGTGCTGCCCAGCCGAGAACGAAGCCGAGGGAGAGGGAGAGAAAGAGAGAGAAGAAGAAGATAGGAAGAAGAAAAGAGTTTTGGTTCTACTTTAAGTCTTTGTGTCATCTCAGAATCATGCCCAGAAGGTCTAATTTGATGAGGAGAGTGGAATGGGTGGATGCCCACTACCTTGTGTTGGAAGGTAAAGCATTTGATCCTGATTCTTTTTCAAGTTCTTTGTTGGAAATGTTGAATTATCAAGGACTGTTAGATGGGTTTCTCGCCATCAGGGTCGAGACTTACCCAAGTTTGGTGAAAGAGTTCTACCGTCACATGACTGTGACTAAGGATGGTGGAAAGTTGGAGGTTACCTCTAAAGTGAGAGGTGTGAAGGTTGTGTTGACTGAGAAAAGGTTGGCTCAGCTTTTGAGTCTGACCACTACGGGAGTCTTGCAGTACAGTGGTGATCCTGGATTGGGACGGATAACATGGGTTATCGAGACTACTTGAGTTATCTCTTAGTTATGCTTGTTTTTGATTGTTTGCTGCCTAACAACAACAAGAGTCGTTTGTTGGGAAAGTTGGAGTGCACGTTTGCCTTTTGCTTGAAAAATATGGTGAAGTTCAACTTGCCTGCCTTAATGTTGCATCATATGGTCTTTTGCCGAGTTCATAACCGCAAGAGTCTACCGTATGGTATGGTTTTGAGCTGGATCTTCGCTAAAAAAGGAGTAAGTGTTGAAGGTTGTGTACCTAAGCCAGTGGGTAAAATGGTGTTGGATGCCACAAACCTCCGGAGTTGCAACCTGTTTCAGATTGATGACGGAGAGTATGTCACACTTGAAGAAGTCGCTAGAAAAGCCCCCGCTGAGAGAAGCGCGTTGGTTGCTGAGCTCGAGATCCCCGTTAGGAAGTTGAATCTCGCAGTTCAGAGCTTGGGAGGAGATGCGGGAAATGAAGGTGAAGAGGACCAAGAAGAGGAAATAGGTGTAGAAGAAGCTGAAGAGAGCAACTCTAATAGTGAAGAAAACCTAAGAAGGAAGGAAGCTAGAACCAAGAGGGAGCATGACGCCATGACACACGAGGAGCGTGTGGTCACCCTTCTTCGTCAACAAAACCGGATGATAGAGGAAGGCTTTGCTTACATGAAGACGCAGTTCGTCGCGGTCAACCAGAAGTTGGATCAGCTAGAGGCCGGTTCTAGCCGAGGTAGAGCCGATGAAGATTCAGACGTAGATGCCGAGGATTCAGAGGATGATTCCTTCTAGGCCGGAGTTTGGGGTAAGCTCGTTTCTTCCCTCGTTTGCTGTTACCGTTGAGTTGTTGCCACTTGTTGGTTGTGTTTTGTTGTTTGCCTCGTGTTATCTTTCTTGCTTGTTAGTTGTTGTTGGAGTAGTTAGTATTGTTGGGTTGTTTTACTAGAATCTAGTTGTTTGGAACTCTAGTGTTGTTTAGAAGGTTTTTGGTTGTCGTGTTTTGGCCTTAGTGTTTGTTGTGCTCAAGGAACTTCTTTGGTGATTTCTTTAAATCTTGCGATGCTTCAACTTCTTGGCAATTTTGCACCTTTTTGAATTCTTGAAGTTTTGGTCAAAAACTGCTCTTGTTTTCCTTTGTCACATTGTTGATTCATGTTGCCGTTTTGTTTGAACTCGTCGTACCCAAGCTTCGGGGACGAAGCTTATTGTAAGGGGGAGAGGATGTGACACCCCGTAAATCCAAACTCTAGTTAAGGATTAATTAGATAATTAATCCTAGTTTTATTGGTAATTTATTCCCAAAAATCCTGAAAGTTCAATAGTCGGAGGACTAGATTTTGACTAGTCAATCCAAGTCAAAGGGTTGTACCTTATGCCTCTTGAGTTGTTCCCTTGTCTCCTTATTCTTCCAACTTTAGTAAGGGCAAAGGAGTCTTTCTACCTAAAGTTTGTGCTCCAAGCTAACCTAGCATCATCCTTTCATTTCATCCACCAACACTCTAAACACAAAACCTCTACCTTCTCTCTAAGAATTTGGTAGCTTCTTCTCCAAGCCAAATTTTGGGCATCCTAATTCCTACAAGTTGGCTTCCAAGATTCATACTTTCCTAACCTTGAGCATAGGGGATGGTAAAATCCTTGATCTCT